GCTGCGCCCGCAGCTCGCGCGCCTTCTGGAGGAGCCGCTCGCGCCGCTGCTCCTCTGTCTCGGCGAGGTTGCTGAGCATCGCCTCGTGCTCGTCGCGTTCACGCAGCAGCAAATCGGCGAGCCGGCGGCGCCGGGCAACGAGCGTGTCGTTGTGCTGCGCCTGCACGCGTTCCAGGTGGCGCATCAACTGCTTGCGTTGCACGACGCCCTCGCTGCGCATCTCCCAGTTGGCCGCGAGCCGCAGCCGACTGTCCTCCGCGCGCACTTCGTTGTACATGCGCTGCTCAACCTCCCGCCGCTGCCGCGCCTCGATAGCCGCCAGCGTGTTGTGGCGTGGCATCCCGCACAGCAGTTCTCAGGGGAGCGAGAGGGAGACAGAAGCCTCAGGTGTATGTGCGCCTATTTGCTTTCTCGCGCGTGCTCCTTGACCTCGGCTGCTTCTCGTGCTTTATGCGACGGCCTAATGGTTATGGCACTTCACCCACTACGTTTGCTGTGTGTGTTCTTGTTTTCTTGTGTGTGTGTGTGTGTGCGTGGGTCAGGCGTGTGTATGAGCGCCCGCCACCACGTCAGTCCTCGCAGCGCTTTGCTGCACCGCGTGTGCGCAGAGATGGGAGAAGGAGGAGGGGAATATGCATCAAATGTGCGCTGAGTGGTGGTCCCGCCACCACCCGCACCAGGAAAAAGTCATCACCACAAAGGCAACAACAGCGACAGCAGAAGCACAGTCACACCGGCTGTATACACCCCCGTGGCTGTCGCCGCACCACTCCCAAGCACGAAGGCCCGTGCGCAAAGAGGCGCACGCACACACATAATCACGTATTCATCCACGACATCAGGGCTTGGCGAGCATTAGCATACATTTAAGCTCCAGCGCGGCTAGCTGCGCCTCCTCCATCGCCGCTGCGGCAGCATCTGCCTCCTGCCGCTCCTTCAGCAGTCCTTCACGAATGCCCGACACCACCGCATCGTTGGCCATGAACAGCTCTCGCGGCCTTGTGTCAATGGGGATAAAGCTCGGCGTATTGAACGCAGAGGAATGCAGAAGGGTATCGTCACTCACCGCTGCTGTCGCCGCACCGTGTTGTTGCTGCGCCTGGCGGCGCTGTATGCGTGCGTGGGCCTCCTCGCGCAGCACAGCGTCGAGGGACTCGCACGGTACGGCATACTCAGGCAGTGGTGGTCTAGGTGCCTCACAGCCACATGCGTTGGTGCCCTCCTCGTCATCGCTGTGCTTCTCGTCAGCAGCAGCGGGAGAAGCAGACATCTGCACCTGAAGCCCACCGCAACTGAAATCAGAATAAGAACGGGAGAGGGAGAGGGAGGGAGAGAGGTTGAACTCACAAGGAGACGGCTGCGTCCTCCTCAGAACACCACCATCCAGAGTTGAGTAGCGTGGCATCGCCTCTGCAGAGACAGTCAAGCAATCCTAGTCGATGGAGAGGGAGTCTTCTTTATTGATTGTTGTGTCATTCTTCTCGCAGCTGAATATATTAGGCTTCTTTCTCTCTCTCTCTCTCTCTCTCTCTCTCTCTTTTTGCATTATTGTCTTACCACTTATATGCGTGCGCCCATATCTGCTTTCTTTTTTCCTCCATTCTTTTCCCTTTCCCCCCGGTCTGACAGCCTCTCTTCTCCCCCTTTCTTTCTCTTTTTGTCGTCCTATTCGATGGTTTCGTTCTCACACCAACCCCCCTCTCTCTCTTTCTTTCTTTCTTTCTTTCTCGCTCTCTGTACTCCAATCCCGCTTATATATATCATGATTTGTGTACCTGTTGGTTTTATTTTGTCCGTTGCTGCGGGGCAGACGCGCCGCCGGCGCATGTGAGGGGGGAGGGCCGCGCGCGTCGTGTTGTCATCACCGCCGACGTGTAGCGTGATGCGTGGAAGGTGACCGAAGAGAACCAGAGGGGGAATACCAATAAAAATATAGTTGATGGAGAGCGAGATAGACAGGCAGATACGTAGACTGCGATCCCCATCGCCATCATCATCGGCTGCAGCGATGCCATTGGCGCGCCGATGTGTGGATGTGGCCACACCTATATATGTGTGTGGATGTGTCTTTATGTGTCTCCTCCCTTCCCACCGCGCCGTCTACTCCGCCCGCTTGCGTTCCGCGATGCGCTTGATGTTCTTGTGCATCGCGAGCACCTTCGCGCCCGCGAAGGACTCAGGCAGCAGCTTGACGATCGACTTCACGATCGCGTGGTTGAAGTGACCCGCTGTCTGCGTAACGACGCCAAGCTTGTTAAGCGTCTGCCGCGCCATCGCGGCGGCGCCGACCATCATAAAGGACTCGCGCGGCTTGCGGCTGCTCGCGCCCTGCGTCATGCGGCTCACCACGAGGCTCGGCGTGACGACGAGCACGTCGACGCCGTACTCCTTCAGCTCATACGCGAGACTCTCGCCGAAGGAGAGGCAGAACGCCTTGCTGCCGGCGTACGTCGACAGCAGCGGCGCCGGGGACACAGCAGAGATGGAGGCGAGCATGACGATGGCGCCAGCCCGCTTCGCCTTCAGCCGCGGCACCATGAACTTCGTCATGCGCATCGTCGCCTCGCAGTTCACCTTGATGATGCGCAGGTCCTCCTGCTGGTCCACCTCGTCGAAGTAGTTGGCGTAGGTGTAGTTGACGCCCACGTTGTTCAGCAAGATGGCCACGTTGAGACTCTCGAGCTGAGCGAAGAGCTCCTTGTACTCCTTGTCGCCGGCGGAAGCGAAGTCAAAGGCGATGGCTCGCCCCTGCACGCCCCGCTTCGCCAGCTCCGCGACGAGCCCGTCCAGCTTCGACTGCGTGCGGGAGACGACGCACACGTTGAAGCCGCGACGCGCGAGCTCCAGCGTCATTGCGTAGCCGATGCCCTCCGTCGCGCCCGTCACGACGGCCCAGTCACCGGCCTTGGCGTACTTGCGCTTCAGGTCAGCGCCGCCGAAGAGGTTGACGCGCAGGAAGTTTACCAGCTGCACCGCGGCTGCGACAAGCGTCACGGCACCGACGGCCGAGAGAACGCCACAAAGAAATGCCATGTAGGAAGATGATGCTTCGGCTTGCTGGCGCCCGCCCCCCGCAGCCAGAGAGGGCAGCACAGAGGGAGGCACAGGAGGAAAAGGAAGCAAACGAAACGAAAAAAAAAA